GCTGAATGCTACTTTCGGTGCTTAACAGCCCATTTTCGGGACCTCGAACTGCGCGTTTGGCCCCGAACATTCGTTTTGCAACGATTTTCGTTCATTTTTGGCAGGTACCCTGTTTTATCACCGGGGAGGTCACTGAAGGTGGGAGGCCAGTAATTGTTGCAGCAACCAGTTATACATCCTCCGACGCCCTCCGACGCCCGTTTTTCACACTCCGAGCTAATGTTGAACACCTTGGACCCACTTTCTTGAACTTTGAACCACATTATTTGTGATGTACACACTTGGGAGGATCCTAAAAGTTGGTGGCCGCAGTAATTCCACTGACCCTTTGAACCCCTCCTTCCGGGCTAATGTTGAACACCTTGGACCCACTTTCTTGAACTTTGACCACATATTTGTGATGTACACACTTGGGAGGATCCTAAAAGTTGGTGGCCGGCCAGTAATTTCACCTGACCCTTTTGAACCCCTCATTCCGGGCTAATGTTGAACACCTTGGACCCACTTTCTTGAACTTTGAACCACATATTTGTGATGTACACACATGGGAGGACACTATCATGTGGTGGCCGGCCACTAAATCAGCTTGACCCTTTTGACCCCTAGCGGCCGGCTAGGGGGGTGGCCGGCCGGCCACCTGCAACCAAAATAACTGGCCGGCCGTAATCTTCACACTGTTCACTTTACAGCTGTATAGCTTTATCCTCCAGAAAATATCAATATCCGGGGGATATTTTGTGGGGAAAGTTGGCCTCCTTTTCCCCCACCTTTACACCCCCTTTTTGGCCCTTATAACCAGCAAGCCATATCACATTTAGGGGTTAGAAAATTTGTCTTTCAAGCCTCAAGATCCATATCTCCTCCATCCTTCTCATTTTCCTAAAAAACCTTAAGGATGCCTAAACAATCTCTCTCTTTTCCCCCCCTCCTCCAACCCAACGCTTAGCGACCCACGTCTTTCGTTGTTGTTGTTGAGAGAGATTGTAGGACTTAAGGTTTTTTAGGAAAATGAGAAGGATGTGAGGGAGATATGGATCTTGAGGCTTGGAAGAACAAATTTCTAAACCCCTAAATGTGATATGCTTGCTGGTTTAAGGGCCAAAAAGGGGGTTAAAGTGGGGGAAAAGGAGCCAAACTTCCCCAACAAAAATATCCCCCGGATATTGATATTTTCTGGAGGATAAAAGCTATACGAGCTGTAAATGAACAAGTGTGAAGATTACGGCCGGCCAGTTATTTTGGTTGGCAGTGGCCGGCGCGGCCACACCCCTAAGCCGGGCCGGCTAGGGGTCAATAAGGTGTCAAGCTGATTTAGTGGCCGGCCCACATGAATTAGTGTCCTTCCATGTGTGTACATCACAAAATATGTGGCTTCAAAGTTCAAGAAAGTGGTCCAAGTGTTCAACATTAGCCGCGGAATGAGGGGTTCAAAAGGTCAGGGAAATTACTGGCCTAGGCCACCAACTTTTAGGATCCTCCCAAGTGTATTGTACATCACAAATATGTGGTTCAAAAGGTCAGGAAAGTGGGTCCAAGGTGTTCAACATTAGCCCGGGAAGGAGGATTTTGGAGGGGTTCAAAAGGGTCAAGTGGAATTACTGGCCGACCACCAACTTTTAGGGTCCTCCCATGTGTGTACATCACAAATATGTGGTTCAAAGTTCAAGAAAGTGGGTCCAAGGTGTTCAACATTAGCTCGGAGTGTGAAAAACGGGCGTCGGAGGGCGTCGGAGGATGTATAACTGGTTGCTGCAACAATTACTGGCCTCCCAACCTTCAGTGACCTCCCCGGTGATAAAACAGCGGTACCTGCCAAAAATGAACGAAAATCGTTGCAAAACGAATGTTCGGGGGCCAAAACGCGCAGTTCGAGGTCCCGAAAATGGGCTGTTAAGCACCGAAAGTAGCATTCAGCCACGAAGTGGGTTTCTGAGACCCCAATGTCCCTCAAAAGGATGCAAACAAGATGTATGCCAAAAATCAGAACAAACGGAGATGGTTAGGCGGTCCCGAACGGAGGCACACGGCCAACGATTCCGAAAAACCGGAAACCGGACTCCGAAATGAGCAAAATGGCCTAAGGCCACCAAATGTAGCCCACGGACACTGGGAGATGGTCTACGGGACCTCTCCCTCCCCTCAGGAAAAGAAACAAAGAAAACCGAGCCTGGTTCGCAAACCGAGGCAAAGCACAAAAGAGGGTTCGGAAGTCCGGAGGCAGGGCTCACGGCCGCGACTCTGAAACTTCTGAACGAGCACAATATGCAACATCACCAAGCGCTCAATCGGTGACGTCTGAGTCTTAAGGTCGGTCAAAAATGGGGTGTCTACACTTACCTTCTAAGCTTTGCACAAGAAACTCTCTTCTTCCTCCCTCTTCTCCTCTAGACTTCTCTTCCTTGCTCTCCTCCCTCTCTCTAACCAAAATGTGTGTGTGAGTGAGTGTGTTGTGTGAGTTTGCAAGCTAGGCGGTGTGGTATATATAGGCAATTTGGTGTAAAAGGACATAAAAGCCCTTTAGTTGAAAATGGATGGGAAAGTTAGGATTTTGCTTCGTGTTAAGTGGGATAGGAGTAACTAAGGTGCTAAATCATAGGTTTTGGAATCAAATAGTTGATTTTAGTTGAAAGGTAACTAGTTTGAGATTAGCAACCTAGGTCTAGGCCACTAGGTTGTGTTTTTTCCTAGAACATCATGATGGTGGTTCTTGAAAATTGGCTCCTCTCTTGGGGAAGTGTGAGGGGGTTATTATTTAAATCATTTTAGGTTCTAGGCACACTCCTCTAGGTGTATATGTATATATATAACAAGATTGATGGCACTTCCAGGTACAAGGTATAAATACTAGTTTGGGCAAGTTTTGAATTTAAAAAACAAGTGAGGGCTTGGAGTAAATACATGTAACTTATGTAGAATTAAATTAGGTTAGGGATCCTAATCCGATTAGGGAAATTCCTGTTTCAATAAATAAAAAAAAAAAAAGAAAGTAATGCTTACCAACAAGATTTGAATTAATTCAAGTAAATGAGGGGCTAAAAATAAATAAATAAACAAATATAATTCAACATTAGGGTCTTAAAAGTAAATACATATTTCAGGGGCTTTACAACCTGTCCCCCTTAAAACAACTTCGTCCCCGAAATTCAGCTACATACTACCTTCGAAAAGCTCGGGGTAATTTGCCTTCACCCAATCCTGGCGCTCCCAAGTAGATTCCTCAATTCCCCAGTGACGCCATAGCACTTTCACCAAGTGAACCGTCTTGCCTCTGAGGTTCTTCTCTCGACTGTCCTGTATTGCTACCGGTCCTTCTTTAAATGTAACATCCTTGTCAAGGCTGATATCTTCCCATTTGAGGACGTGTGACGGGTCAGCGATGTATTTTCTCAGCATAGATACATGGAAGACGCTGTGTATCCCTGCTAACTGCGAGGGTAGAGCAAGTCTATATGCTACTTCGCCCACTCCTTCCAATACCTCGAAAGGACGTGACAGCTTCCCCTTTCTCCCAAAACGTACGACTCCACGCCTGGGTTGCACCTTTAGGAACACGTGGTTGCCTACTTCAAACATCAACGGTCTCCTCCTCCTGTCTGCATAATTCTTCTGACGGTCCTGGGCAGTCTTCAACCGTTGTCGGATCAATTTGACCTTCTCAGTAGTTTCTAGGACAAGTTTGGGTCCCACCAGATTTGCGTCACCCACTTCCGTCCAACAAATTGGCGATCTACAAGGTCGTCCGTATAATGCTTCAATGGGTGCCATACCGATGCTAGCTTGGAAGCTGTTGTTGTAGGCGAATTCAATTAGGGGTAGGTGTCGTTCCCAACTGCCTTGAAAATCCATTGCGCAAGCTCTCAACATATCCTCGAGCGTCTGGATAGTGCGTTCAGATTGTCCGTCTGTCTGCGGGTGAAAGGCGGTGCTAAAACATCCATACCAAGAGCTTCCTGCAGGCTTTCCCAAAATCGAGAGGTGAATCGTGGATCACGATCTGACACAATAGATATCGGAATTCCATGTAGTCGAATGATTTCCCCAATGTAGAGTCTGCACATAGACTCTAAGGTATCGGTCATCTTATAGGGTAAGAAATGTGCTGACTTCGTAAGACGGTCCACTATTACCCATATAGCATCGCGCCCTCTAGGTGACTTAGGCAACCCTGTCACAAAATCCATCGTCATATACTCCCACTTCCATTCGGCTATTGGTAAAGGTTGCAACATTCCTCCTGGTTTCTGATGTTCCGCTTTCACTTGTTGGCATGTCAAACATTTTGTTACAAATTTAGCCACTTCCTTCTTCATTCCCTTCCACCAATACTGCCTCTTCAAATCTTGGTACATTTTAGTCCCTCCTGGATGTACCGCAAATGCAGAATGATGACATTCTTTCAATTCCTTTTCTCTAAGTAACTCGTCACTTGGTACAAACAATCTACCCTGGTATCTTAAACTCCCATCAGGGTGATTTACCTAACCGGGCATGGGTTCTCCTAACTCCAGACGTCCCTTGATGTAGGCTACCTCTTGATTGTGCTTCTAGGCCTCCATGACCTCATTCATCAACTTAGGCACCACCTTCTGCGCACTAAGACATGCCTTTGTATCTTGAGATTCTACTTGGATCCTGAACTCACTGAGTGTCTTAACCATATCCCATTCCTTGACGGAGATCTTAGCCATCATCCCTCTGCTCTTACAACTTAGAGCATCTGCTACTACATTGGCCTTACCAGGGTGATACGAGAGAGTGAACTGGAAATCCTCAAGATACTCCATCCATCATCTCTGTCTCAAGTTAAGGTCCTTCTGCATGAATAGATACTTCAAGCTCTTGTGATCTGTGAAAATCTCAAATTGTTTCCCGTACAGGTAATGTCGCCATTGCTTTAGGGCAAAAACCACGGCTGCTAACTCCAAGTCGTGGGTGGGGTAGTTGCGCTCATGAGGTTTCAACTGTCTAGATCCATATGTGACCACCTTTCCATTTTGCATGAGCACGCAACCTAACCCTTCTTTAGATGCATCACAATACACAGTGTATCCCTCTTCTCGTTCTGGAATGGTCAAAATTGGCACACTGGTTAACCTCTTCTTCAGCTCCTGGAAGGATTTTTTGCAAGCTTCGTTCGACTCATACTTTGCTCCCTTTTACGTCAGACGAGTCATTGGTTTAGCTAGTTTGGAGAAATCTTGGATGAACCTCCGATAATAATCGGCCAATCCTAAGAAGCTACGGATTTCTAACACGGTCTTTGGTTGCCTCCAATCCAATACTGCCTCCACTTTGGTTGGATCCACCACAATCCCATTTTCTGATACCACGTGCCCTAAGAATTTTACTTCATTCAACCAGAACTCACATTTACTTGCCTTGGCGTATAACCGATTTTCCCTAAGAATTTGGAGGACAATCCTTAATTGTTTCTCATGCTCTTCTTCAGACCTTGAATATACCAAGATGTCATCAATGAATACTACTACAAACTGGTCAAGGTATGGTCTAAATATCTTATTCATTAGGCTCATGAATACTGCTAGTGCATTGGTTAGTCCGAAGGGCATTACTACAAGTTCATAGTGGCCATATCTAGTACGAAAGGCAGTCTTCGGTATATCCTCCTTCTTGACTCGTAGTTGATGGTAACCTGACCTGAGATCAATCTTTGAATAGCACCATGAGCCTCTGAGTTGGTCAAAAAGATCATCAATCCTCAGGAGTGGGTATCGGTTTTTAATCGTGACTCGATTGAGTTGACGATAATCGATGCATAGCCTCAACGACCTATCTTTCTTTTTAGCAAACAACACGGGTGCTCCCCATGGCGAAGTACTTGGCCTAATGAATCCTTTCTCAAGCAATTCCTGTAGTTGTGTCTTCAATTCTCGCAGTTCTGCTGGTGCCATGCGATACAGAGCCATGGATATTGGGGTAGTTCCAAGTTGTAGCTCGATGCCAAAGTCTACTTCCCGGGTTGGTGGCAATCCTGGTAATTCCATGGGAAATACATCTGCATAATCGCACACTACGCGTGGAAGCTCTAACTCTCCTCGACCTTCCTCATTTAGAATCAGACTTGCTATTCTACCCGCAAGTTGATCGCGCCACTGCGTTCGATGCTTTGTCGAAGCCATGGGGTCTTGTCTATCCCCCTTAAACTGGAAACATATTCCATCTTGCGTGTGAGCTACCACTTTCCTCTGACGACAGTCGATCACCGCTCGGTGGGCGGACAACCAGTCCATACCCAAGATGATATCGAAGTCCGACATTTCCATGACACGCAGGTCACAAGTTAAGCGTAGGTCCGACATTCCTATCTTACAGTCCTTACATATCAATCCTACCTGAATGCATCCTCCCATAGGTGACATTACACTTAGGGCAGTTTCTAAAGGTTCACATTCAAGTTCTAATGATTTAGCACAAGCAGAGGATATAAAAGAATGTGATGCACCTGTATCAAATAAAACATGCACCCAAGAATTGTATAGTACTAAATTACCCTCAATTACAGACGGGTCCGCTTCTTCCTCTTGTAAGGAAAAGATTCTGTTGGTTGCCTTCTGGTTGCCACTGGCCTTGGCGTTCTGAGTTCCTCCATTCTTCTGGTGCTGCTGCCCGGTAGGTCCTATCTTGTTTGTCCAAGGCTTCTGCCCACCTAATGCCTGGGCATTTTCTCCGGAACCTCCTCCTTGATATCCAGATGGAGGGAGTTGGGGGCATTCGCTCTTCTTGTGCCCTAACTGTTGGCAATGAAAGCACTGGATTTGTCCTGCCGGCCTTTGATAGCCTCCTCTCTGAATCTGTTACTGCGGTTGCTGTCGTTGCTATTGTGGTTGTGGTCTGGAGTAGGGCTTTGAGGTCATTCTTCCCTTCTGGTTCCTCTGGGGTCCAATAGTCGCCTGACTTCCTCTTTTCTTGTTCCAAGCCTTTCTGGTGTCGTTCACTTCCCTTTCAGATTCTAATGGCGTCTCCAGCACCTCGGCATATGAGGGGAGTCGTTGCAGAAGAACTCTTCCCCTGATTGTAAGGTCCAGTCCCCACATCCTTGTTTTTTCTTCATCATTTGCCACGAGTCTAGTTGCATAGCGGGCTAGCTCTTCGAATTTTGCAGAATACTGGGTCACAGTCATATTTCCTTGTTCTAGGTTCTAGAATTCCTTGACTCGTTCTCGGTGGATAGTACTTGGGAAATATTTATTTAAGAATAGTTCCTTGAACTGTTTCCATGATAGGCTTGCTACGTCACGAGTGTTCTTTATCAACTCGCACTAATGGTCAGCCTCATCATCAAGCTCGAATGCTGCCAAAGCTATTCTATCAGCGGCCTCAGTGATGCCCATGGTGTCTAGCATTTTCTCTATCTGCCGAAGCCAATTCTCAGCTATTTTCGGGTCCGGTATGCCTGTGAACTTTGGGGGCCTCTGCTTCCGAAACTCAGAAAAGAGTCGAGTCCTCTCATTCTGCCGATTGTTCCTTATTTGCCCTAGTTCCTCCAAAATCTGATGACCTAGGTTATTGGGGATGTCAGCCCTTGCGGGGATGGGTTCATGTTGATGCCTGGGACGGTTTCGTACATTGTTGCTAGTTTCGGTATAGCTATTAGCTCGCGTGTCTACCATTCTGTTCATGGCACGAGGTGAGTTGGTTTCCAATCTTAGAAAATCTTACTACTTAGATTTGAAATAAAGGTTCAGTTTCCTTAGGGTGCACTAAAGCAAGTAACAGTCAATAACATAGATCAACGCATCATTTATATATATATATATAATAATAGGCATCATTACAAAAGGACTCCTATATCGAAGTTACATTCAAGAGCATCTACGCATACAAGTTCAAGCTATCTTATTCTAAGGATCCTCATCAACGGATCTTACAAAAGTCTAGTTTTACTACCCCTCGAATTAGTTCTCGTTTCCCGACCAATCAAAGTCTTCGTCTGGGTCCTCGTCAGCGGAGTCAGTGGCTTGTCCCGGAGAGCGGGGGGTGTACATTGGTGAGGGAGGATTATGTTCAGATGATATCTCTATAGGGTGGGCTAGGTTCGCTCCTTGCTGCTCTGGTGCCTGCTCCATATCCATTGGTTGATTGTCGCCTGGCCCGTGGTAACAAGATTCGTGGCTTTCATCCTGAGTTGGTGCCATGGTGGTCAAAGCTCGGTGTATCAGGGAGTCTATCCTCTGTTCATCTTGCTCCATTCGGACTGCCTTCCTTGCTACTCGGCTTAGAACTTGTAGGCAGCGCCGCACCAAAGACCTTTTCTGCGCCCTCGTATAGCGGGCGTACTTCATCTTTACCTTACGTATCTCGGTTTTGATCATTTCCTCGGCGGTGATTTCGCAGCGTCGGCGGCTAAAGTAGGGGCTGACAGACATGGCCTTCCTTCCTTGTATACGAAAAACACCCCACGAGTCGGTACTGATGCCGCGTCCTGGATAGTCTCCCGATGACATCCTAAGGTGGGAAAAGGAGTTTCATTAGTTAATCTTCTTGTAATAGTGTGATAGAATAAAATAAGATAAGGGGTAAGGGCTTCTAGAGTCGCATATAGGGTTGCGAGGGTTAAGGGTTGAACCTAGGCTCTGACACCAAGTTGTGACGCCCTGATTCTACACTATAGGTTGCAATCAAGGGAGAGTCACTAGTGAGTCCTATGGTCAATAACCAAGTAAGATCCCAGATCGCCGGAGGAGTCAAAATAGCCTCCCTTCTAAGTCCAGCTTTCTTAGGCAGCGCACTACCTTTTTGACAGA